GCACAGAAGTGGCAGCTGCATGTCTTGTCCAGGTCTCCTGCCACGTGTCTGGGCACCAGAGGGAGACGTTGTCAGTTCTGTGGTTCAACCACAGAACTGATCTCAGGCCTCTAAGTTCGCGCTATCATCTGAGTGTCTGGGGTAAATCCCATCACAGGGCCCGAAGGAGGCAGAAGCCAAGCACCCCCATCTTTCACAGCTGTTAGGACATCCCCCCTCCAGGAAGGGAAGTAAGACGTGTGGAGTCCCCACTATGTGCTGGGCAGTGCTGATGGGCCTGGACACGCTCTGTTTTGTGGGTTCTCAGGGCGGGCCAGGAGGCCAACTGCCAGGCCTCTGTTTTGCAGAGGTTAATGAACTTGCTCAGCAATACTCAGTAATGAAGGACAGGGGCCTGGATTCACACCCAGCCCTCCTGCCCCAAAGTTCTTCTTTTTCCCTGCTAGTCCTTTCTGGGGAAGTCTCAGCCCTTTTGCATTTTTTCCCCTTATGCTTTGAAGCTAGCAGAATGGCTTCAGAAATGCCCTCCCTATGGGCATGGGGGAACCATTAGTCTTTGTTTTTTTTGGTTTTTTTACAGTTTAAAGGACATTTTATTTCAATTAGAATTTGTGTTATGAAAACAGTTGGTGTATTTTCCCTTGAACTTCTACAGATAAATGCTGAACTGTAAATGCATACATAACAGATTATATATATACATAATCTGTCTATTTAGATGTAATGAGTAGCTGGCAGACTTACATATAACAGTTATGTTCAAACATATGCGTTCTTATTTATGTCAGCACATTAAGTCTGTCGCGCCTGCCTTCAGAACTTTCATATAATAACCTGTGATTCAGCACTTAGATCACACCTGAAATCATTAGTTTCACTTGGACAGAAAAGAGGGTGGTATGTTGTTTCCAGGGAAGGGCAGATAATAGGAAGAACCCACATCTCGAAGCCTGCAGGAGAGAGGGGTGCTCTGGTCTTCTCATCACAGGCTCCCGCTGCAAGGCTAAGGTACCAAGCTTGGTAGGCCCTTTCCTCCTTTGAGTCACCTGGAATTTTCTGTTCATCCTGTTGTCCCGGCTGTTAGTTGTTTGCTTTCTAACGTTTTTCAGGCAAGTTCCTTCATCTGGTGCCTTCCTGAGATCTTGAGTCTTGGAGGGCGTCTTCCACCACCCTGCCTCCATGCACCTGCCCCAAGAGGCTTCCCTGCCTGGCTGGGGGTGACACTGGCTGGTGGTATGGAACCCTAACTCAGTGTTTATGACGCCTGGACCGCTGTTCTGAGGCCTCAGGGTCCACTCCTGCCTGTGGCCTTCTGGGAGGGCTCCAAGGAGAGACTGGCTGGTTTTGGTGACTTTCTGGAGTGAGTGGTCTTTCAGATTGAGAATGTCTCATCGCAGGTGTGTCCAGGGATGCGCGGGGGACAGTGACAGCTCAGATAAACTGGACGGTCCTGCTGGCCACTCGATGTGCAGGACTGTGCCCTCAGGCACCCTGAGTGATGCACTTTGATCTGCCAGTGAGCTCATCCCTCCAGTTGGGAGGGCGCTGGTTGCCTGGACAACAGACAGACATCACTGTGCTGGGGAGGGATGAGCCTGGTTGCTGTGGTGGAACCGTCTAAGTGCCAGCTGCTGTCTGGGCCACAGCCTCCAGGAGGTCCAGGGAGTCAGCAGGAGGCCTCGGAGTAGAGTCTGCTTGGGACAGCAGGGCACTCGACACCAACGTCAGTGTTCCCTGCAGGCTGCAGACTCGGGAGGCGCCATCAGGAAGGAGTGAGCGGAGGGGGACTCATGATCGCAGGGGCCCAGCGATCTTTCCTCTTGGGAGACTTCCTAACAGTCACATAGAGAGAGGAAATCACAGGCCCGATGTGCGTCCGAGGATAATGACACTTACTCAGGTTGCCCTGACCTGTACTTTTCCACTGATGTGGAGAAGGACACTTTGCCAAAGAATGTCCTTGGAGTGGCTTGGCTCGATGTATTTTTCCTTCTGGTATTTAAGTCAAATGTATTTAATGTAAGCAGCTCGGCTGTCAACTGGAATGCGTGCAGAGTCTTCTAGCCCCGGGGGACCCACCATGCGGCCATTTCCACCACGTGTCAGTTTTGACAGTCGTTTGCACTGAGGCTTATCACAAGGTCCACACACCAAAATGGGCTTGTCAAAGCTGGCTGGGAAAAACTCATCTGGGAGCTGAGAGGCATGAATATATTGTATTCACGTGTACACTTTTCCACCCACCACCTGCCCGCCCGCCCACCCACTCATTAACCCATTCATTCATCCATCTGTCCTGCTCTTCATCCGCCCATCCGTCCCTTTGAACATTCACTCTGGACACAACATCATTCCAGGAGTGTTTTGAGGATATAAAGGTGGGACACATTCCATCAAAACTCCAGGGACTTAAGAATATATATACATATTACATACACCCACACACACAACATAGTTTGCTGACAATTCGTTCACTGAGTTAAAGCTAAAATTTTGCTTTATGGGGCCCTCCCTGGTGGCGCAACAGGTTCGGACACAGCACTGCAAGCTGGCCGCAGCCACTTCAGTGTGAGTTCAATCCCTGGCCCCGGAGGTGACCCACAGGGCATGGCAGACTTCTCCTGACCCACCCGCTGCTCCCCTCAGCAGTGTACTTCGTCAATCACCTGTTCTGCTCCCCGCTCTGTCTCTGGTAAAGCCTCTCACCACCCCTGCACCTCTGGCCTATGGTACCCCAGTTCTGTATGCAGAAATAAATAAATATTTTAAAAAAAATGGCTTTTTGAACATATAACGGACTTCTTTGACTCAGTAAAAGTGGCAGAGTATAAAAGCATGGACTTCAAAGAATGTCAAAGCTTCGTTTCTAGACCTGCCCATTTCATACCCTGTGTCCCGAGGCTGTGCACACGTGTGTGCAGCTCAGGGCCTGTGTGCCCTCTGGGCTGGCTTCTTTCCCTCGGGTCATGGGGCCACAATGTGTGTCTGTAAGTTGCACAAACACGGAGACCTGGGAACTGGATTTCACCAAGATTCTCTAACAGCTCTTCTCCCCCTTGGGTCTCCCTCACACTTCATTCTCCCCCAGGCAGGAAAAAGCCCAAATTCCTAAAGTCGTGTTGTTCCCAGGGTACAGTTGCCATCCATCACTCCCCGCAGTAAAGTGTAAGTATGTGCTGGCTACTAGTGGCATTATTTATTATCATAGGCTGCGGTGTGGGTTTGAGAGGGCGGCTGCTGGCCAAGCATTATTCGTGGGCTTCCCCGGGGGACTGTGCTGGTGGGCAGAGCCGGGCAGAAGAAGGGTGAAGGGCGGAGGAGGAGTTCCTGCCGCTCAGGCCAGGGTTGGGGCTTTGCCACCAAGGCTGAGCACCGTCAAGGCGTCGGGGTGGAGGGACACCACGCCACCTTGCAGCCTGCTTCTAGGAGACTGGAAGGCTGGTTCCATGCCATGCCCAGATGCCTGGCCACCAGGGGGTGGCGGGATTGATGAGTGCCACTTGCTGCAGGTGTGTGTCAGGGGACCACTGGAAGAATGTCTCAGTATTTGATGGAACAATGTTTTAATCAGTTGTGCTCCCTGCAGACCAAGCCCCATGCAACCCAAAGCCCTGGTCCTCAAGGACCTTATGCTCTGGGACTCTGGGCGCCCCGGCCTCCCTTACAGCCCTCAGAGGAAGGCGTTTTCCAGGTGAGGCTGAAAAGGCAGAAAGGCTCGGTCCTTGCTCATCTGCCTGGACTGCCGGCTCCTCCCAAACTGCGTGGTCCTGGCCAGGTGACCGCTGCAGAGGGGGCACTAGGAGTCAGTGGGGTGGGGGGAGGCCCTGCCTCGGCGCGGTGCATATTCACTTTTCGTATACTTTTCCCTTTGGAGTCATGGGTCATGAGCCCAGCTCCCGGGGAGAGCCCGGCAGTGAATACCGTCCCAGGAGGTGTGGGGCACTCTGCAGGGGGTCAGCGAGTTGCAACTTTTAATATTGCTGTCAGCTCCATGATGGTTCACACCAGCCGTGGGTGATGGGCAAGGTCTGACAGCAGCAATGAGGGGCAGGAGCGGGCAGAAGGTGATGGTGCGTGCCAGGGAGGAAAGCTGCTGGAGTCAGGCCCGGCATGTGCAGTACACGGCAGGAGGCTTGTGAGCTATAGGTGAGTCACTCGGGCAAGTTTCTGTCTTTAGACCACGCTGAGAGATGGGTGGCAGGAAGCCCTGTCAGGGTCCCCAGCGCTTCCCTGACTGTCTTCAGGGAATGGGAACAAGGCTTCATTCGGTTAAAACAAACAGCATTGCCTGCTCACGGCGGACCCCGACTGTCTTGAGAAGCTGACCGAGCACACAGTTGGGCTCTGTGCTTTGAACTCTCGGTGCAGGAGAAGGGACTGGAGCGCCTACGTAGCATCTGCGACTGATGGGCAGGCGCTCGCGGTGGCGCGTGGACTGCAGAGAGACGGGCCTCCGCGGGGGTGCAGGGGAGGCCGAGCCTCCGGGAAGCTTCCCCAAGAGGCCGGAGCCACAGGCTGAGAGGTTTTCACAGATAGAGCCAAGGTTCTGGTCGCAAGGGCATTTCTCTTTCACCTGTCAGCTCTCCATGCTGTTTCTCGTTGCACAGGGGTGCACAGCAGGCCCTTGTCTGACATTTGTTCACAGGATGTGGGGTGTCGGTGATGTTGATAGTGCGACGTGTGCAGGGTGCTGGTTCCTGCCCCGTGACAGCTTTCAGAGAATGGTGGCGGGGTGGTCGGAGAGGACCCCTACGGTGGGTGTTCGTTTCCAGCCACTTCCCTTTGTTGATTTTTGGGGAGCAGAAATGAAAGGTCAGTGTCTCTGGGTGGGACCCTCAGGGAGGTGCTCCCCTCTCCTCGGGTGTCACCCAGAGACACCACCAAGTGCCTCCCGGCCAGACAGCAAGCACTGACCCCTCCGCGGTGACTCCCGACCCCTCAGGAGGCCACAGGGCTCTGGAGGGATGAAGGTGACCTACCTGGGCATGTCTGTCTTACAGATGTGGATGAGTGTGCCACGGATTCTCACCAGTGCAACCCTACCCAGATTTGCATCAACACTGAAGGAGGGTACACCTGCTCGTGCACCGACGGCTACTGGCTTCTGGAAGGCCAGTGCTTAGGTAAGAACTCCCTGGGCGCACGGATACTCGGGGATGAGTGGTTACAGGCGGTGTCAGGAAATGTGGGCCCTGCTGGGTGGCCTAAAGGCCACCTTTGGGGGAGCTGAGCTTACGTGTAACAACACTCTTTAAAGGCAGCTGTCACCATCATGTCACGTCCTCGTCGAGTTCTTGAATGTCATTTTTAAGGGCTCATGTTTGAGTATACCTGGACCGGCTTCCTAGCTTCAGGAAGTTTCTATCTAAGACAGGCAGTGAAATAGGGGAGGGGTCTTGTCCTAGGGGCTTCATACTTGCTTACTCACAGCAGAGTTCCAAGTCTCAAGCGTGGAAATTCTGATGGACAGTCACCTCCTCCCCAAGCTCACTGTAGTCCTTGC